CAAAAAAAATCAAAAAAAGAACATGAAAACTTACCAAGCTAGAAGCCTAAACTGCATACTTAACACGCCCACACTTAACATACATGCTCAAAAAGTATTATCTATATAAAAATTCTTGTGAAGACAAATTTTAATAAAGAAATGGAGAAAACTTAATTTTAATAATTAAAGTCCCATAAATTTAAACTAAAAACACATGAAGTTCATATGTTTGAAACTATATACCTAATTATAACTAATAGTAGTGCCCAGAAATATTTACCTAAAAGCCAACTTACAGAGATTTTGCAAACTGGGGTCATTTGAAAAAATGTCTGTGCTTGGAGGCACTATATTATGCTAAACAAAAAATCATAAATATTTAATCTAAACAATTTTTATTTGTTCTTTTAAAAAACTTGGACATAATTTTTCCAAAAACATGACCCAAATAAAATATCACCTAATATAAAAAATCTATAAAATGCTAATTGCACCGTCCACATTTTATAAAGTGCTAATTATTGAACAAATAAACTATTGACCTTGCATGACATGGTTTATGAGTGGTTCGTTAAACTACAGTAAACAAAACAAACTATGAAACATACAGTGGGCTTTCAAAATTTCACATTGCATGTATTTGTTCACTCCTTAGGTGTTCTATGACAAACAAACTTGCTTATTGTTAAACAACACATGAATTTTAAGTAAACACGACCCAAACTATTTATCGAACTCAATATCACCTCAATTCTAACCACCTCACCAACATAATATCAACAATCGAAGAATGGTCGCCTTTATCCATATAAATTTGCATATAAAAAATTCCAACCCCCAATTCCAAAATGCATGCATTTAATTGACATCTATATAAACGCCATATAAAAACTACTATAACAAAAGTCCAAAAATCAAAGCAAAACTAAAACATATCAAGATAATTGGTTCAATTGATTTCAGATATTTGTAAAAATCATCAAACATTTAAAAGAAAAAAAAAGAGTAATAGCCCAATTTGGCATCTAGAATTCCAAATAAACTATTATGGCAATTGAATTTGATATTTTACCGAAAATAACACAATGATACTTACATATGCAAAAAAAAAAATACTTTCAAGCACTTCACAACCCTCTCTCCCCACGCCACATAGGTCCTTCAACTCCCATAATCTGCATCAGCTGGACAATTAACATCAATAATAGCAATTCCTTGAATAAAAAATAAAGAAGACATGACACCGCATTAGTTTTTTCAACCATAGAAATGAAGATAATTAGGGCAGTGAAATGTTAGCATCAAACAACAAATACGTACAGTACAAAATACAAACTACTTTAGGAAAATATCAACAAAATAGCTCAATTATTTCACAATCAACATGGTATCTAACACTAAAAAATCAAGCACTGAATACTGATAATTGGTTCACAAAAATCAATATTCAACATTATAAAGAGATTCAATATCAACAGAGTAGCCCAATTATTTCACAGTCAATATGATTACTAATACTAAAAATTCAAGTACTGACAACTGAGAATTGGTTCACAAAAATCAAGATTTAACATTACAAAAGGATTAATGAAATCCTAAGTTTATCATCAAAATTAAACAACCCTAAATAATTAACCACAAAATTCTGAGAAAATCTTGAACTATGAGAGATTTTGAGTATGAGAGAGGTCAGAGAAGAGAAAGAAGGGGAGAGAAAAAGGGAGATCAACCTGATTTACCGTGTTGGAGTCGCCAGAATATACCAGAGTTGAAGTCGTCGACGGAGAAAAGACAATGGAGAGAAATGGTAGAGGGTGATAATAGAGGTGCGATACGACAGAAATGAGTGGTATAAAAAAATTTAGGGTATAATATTTTACTATCGAATCAATTTAGATTAATCACAACTATTGTCATGGTCCCATACAAAATGTAGTTCAACAAATAATCTACCAAAATTATATCAAATAATTTTAACAATTATTTTTCAACAACAATTTCAACAAATCTATATCAAATAATTAACCAAATTCAACAATCAATCATCCATATCTCAATTTTATTCACGAATTCAACTACTTCAAGAACACAAATGACGAAAAGAAAATATCAATGAATCACATAATTTTAGCTGTGTAAAAGCACAAAGAGAGGGGTTGGGGGTGGGGGTGAGGGGAGAACTTGAATAATTCACAAATCCCACTTTATACCAATACTCTAAGAAAAATTTTCAAAATCTTTGCAAAGAAAAAGCTGGAGAAAAGCTATAAAATTTCAAGAGAGAGTAAACTTGGAAGAACTAGAGAAAATATAATATGTAGCCTTCTTGAAAGGAAAAGTAGTACTCTTATTCAAAGGTTACAAATAATTATAATATGTAGCCTCTTATGAACATGTGAAATCAACTTTTATCCAGCAACACATGCACGTCACTCACAAAATTTATCCAAGCTCTATTTCATTATTTACTCACAATTAGGTCCAATGACCACAAACTCATCTATCTAATTCACCGAACAACAGACAAAATTTCATCGCACCAATCAAGTAAAAAACTAATACTCCTATTAGTGACTTTCCTGATCATCCCAACAAATAGGTAATCAAGCATATTTCCTATTTGACCAAAAAAAACTTCACTATCCTTTCATCTACTGTGACCTTCGACTTCACTGGCTTCGTTGAAGCATCCCATGAGCTATATCCTGAAACCTCTAAAAACCAAATCATACATAACTCCTATAATGTAAAACGCAACCAAATCACTGATTTACCATTCAAAACGTGTGAGAAGATTTACTAAACATAATGAGAAAATCTCTTACTATGTCAATATTATGGGTGACTAACATAGTCAACTAGTAAATAAGCAAAACATCAAAACATAAAACAATTACTCATCTAATACCACAAACACAAATAACTCCGAACAATCCAAATTGAATGTTAGACATTCTTATGTAAATACTAACCAAGTCAAATACCAAAAGTGACACAATTCATTTCATTAAAAAATCCCCAAAAATTTGTATAGAAAATAATCATCAAAAAATCCAAACTTTAAAAATTAAAAATTAGCAAATCCAAAAAAAAAAAGGCCAAATTTCAATGAACAATGTACATACCAGAATAAAAAAATCAATGAACAATATATCATTCTCTAAATTGCTCTCTTTATTAAAGCCTTCTCCCCTCACAAATGATTACCCATTTTATCACTTTGTACAACAAAAGGACTAATTTCTTCTCTCATTAACACTGAAGAAAAAAAAAACTAAGTGATATTAAAAATGTGCAGACATAAAAGTGAGTCCATGGAGAAGTGATCAAGGGAACATATATAGACTATAGAATCATGTAAGTTTGAAAAATATGCTACTACCACTATGGCATGCCAACAATATCCAAATTTTTGCACTCATTAAACCATCCATTAAATAAAAATAAAGAATTATAATATCTAAATCATATAATATATATTCAAACTGAAACTGTAAAATCATAAAATCTATGATAATTAAAGTCATTACGCATACATCAAAGGTATAAGATATCATTCACTTAATAAATGTCCAAGTACTATGAATAAAAAAAACTTAGTAATCAACTACTAAATTGCGAAAAACTCAAACCTATGCATAAAAGTGAGGATGCTAACAACGACAAAGTGGAGCAAAATATAATTTCTTCATAATGGACAGTTAAAAATCTTGCAAAACAATAGAATATTCAAAGTCATAATTATCCTTAAGCCGAAACTTTCATGAATAAAGTCACTGAAGGAAATTTTTACTGTAGTTTAAATTGATGGATAGTTTCGCGAGCGTATCAAGTGTACCACATATTATACCACTATATAAGTCATAAGATGTGAGTGTGAAAAATAATAATGAGAACTTCGCCTAATTATTTGGAATCGAAAGATACACAAAGTAATTATTCACACTTAAAGTAACCTAAAGTGATGTGATTACCAATTCAATTCAAGCAGAAAAAATGCAATTAGCAATCCCAAAATTCGAGTTGAATCAAAAATAACTACAAAGTTCGCACCAAAATCAAATATAAAGTAATTACAAAATTCATTGAATCTTATCTAATTAAATTCAAATTACATCTAATCAAACCGAGTTCACCTAAAGTAATTGTAAAATTCGCATACACGAAAAGTATATGATGTCATTCACTTAATAAATGTCCAAGTACTATGAATAAAAAAAACTTAGTAATCAACTACTGAATTGCAAAAAAACTCAAGCCTATGTATAAAAGTGAGGATGCTAACAACGACGAAGTGGGGCAGAACATAATTTCTTCGTAATGGGCAGTTAAAAATATCACAAAACAAGAGAATATTCAAATTCATAATTATCCTTATGCCGAAACTTTGATGAATAAAGTCACTTAAGGAAATTTTTCCATAGAACTAAAGGAAATTTTTACTATAGTTTAAATTGATAGATAGTTTCGCGAACGTATCAAATGTACCACATATTATACCAATATGTAAGTCAGAAGATGTGAGTGTAAAAAGTAATAATGAGGACTTCAACTAATTATTTGAAATCGAAAGATACACAACGTAATTATTCACATCTAAAGTAACCTAAGTGATGCAATTACTAATTCAATTCAAGCAGAAGAAATCCAATTAGCAATCCCAAAATTTGAATCAAATCTAAAATAACTACAAAATTTGCACCAAAATCGAACATAAAGTAATTACGAAATTTATTGAATCTTATCAAATCAAATTCAAATTACATCTAATGAAACCGAGTTCACCTAAAGTAATTGTAAAATTCGCATTTTGTAATTACTTCATTATTTCATTTTTTTAATCATCTTACCAAAAGTTATCGACTTATGGAGTTTTGGGTTTTCTTTTAACTTTTGTAGAAACCATTTCTCTCTTTTTTTTTTTTTTTTTGTTTTTGTGTCTGTGCGTGTGCTTATGGGTGTGGGTGCAAAATATGTAGAAACATTCAACAACAAAAAATTACCTATGAAGAATTAGTCTATTCAACTGCAAACCATTTCAAACTTTTCAATTTGGAACAAAATATCCATTCAAAAACCCATGAAAAACAAAAATTTGTAAAAGAAACATAAAAACTAATTTTCTTTGGAAAAAACGTAGCTTATCAGAGTTATTTCTGAGGTAGATTATAGTCCTCACAGAAGTATGGATCAAGAAGGCCTCAATGATCAAGTATGAGAGAAAGAGAGTTACGAGGTAAATATAGGGTTTGACAGAAAACAGAGAATTGGGGGTAAGGGGCAAGGACGGATCCATTAGTGGGCTTAGGTGGGCTGAAGCCCAGAGTAAAAAAGATATATATATATATTTACCACTAAGTACTAGCCCCCCCCCCAAAAAAAAAAAAAAATAAATAAATCCCATCCAACCCAACCCAGCCCACCTACAAATCCCCAAAATCAATCGATCTCTCTCAGTCACTTCCCCTATTTCCTGTCTCTTCTCTCTCAGGCGAGTCACGTTCCCAAATCTTCGGACAAGCAATGGCTCCATAGCAACACACAGGCGGCGAGTTGCTTCTCCAAATCCCCGGCCAGGCGGCGTCGGCAAGTCCCTCTGCGCAAACACCTTGGTTTCTGGGTGGTTTGATTTGGCGACAGTGGTTTGATGCTCCTTGCCCACCCTCCCAACAGGCCTCCTTTGTTTTTCATGCTCCTCCATATGCTTTGGCCACCACACAGCAGACTCTACTTTTTAGGAAACTTATTGATTGAGCATTGTACCAAGCAAAGGAAGTGGGTATGCTCTATCTAGAGATAGAACCTCGAAGCGTTTCTTTGTTCTTTTGCTAGCTGAGAGTCCCTCAGACTTCTGGTCAAAGATTACACCAATTTCTTCGTTGCCTCTGAAGCTATTCATGTCGCTGGGATCGTCATCTTGATTTACAAGCTCACCACCCAAAAAGACTTGCTCTGGTATTTCTTTCTCTGTCAATACACAGTCGGTATATTTTTTTTTATGATTTTATCAGTTATCTGATCAGTCTTTGATTGTTATATTTTAAATCTTGGGTGTTAATTTCTATCTATTCATTGTTTTTGGTAGATCAATTCGGATTAATTTTGTTTTTTGTCTTTACCTAGAATTTTTCAGTCCCTTGTATAGAGTAAGGTTTAGGGTTTGACGATATGGAGAAATCTATTTTGATTCATCTTTATTTGTTCAAGATGTATTGCTTTGATTGGGTGAATCTTTTGTCTGTGGGTAAATTACACATGCCTCATCTGAGAGTTTAACAATTGCAAAAGTGCCGGAGCATCTTCTAAGGTTGAAATTATATTTAACTCGTTCTGAGACAGTTGAATCTTGTTCATCACCATTAAAACTGCGGTGGAAGCTACATATAATAGAGAGGAAGAGAGCTTTAGAGCCAAAAAGGGTGCTCCATCTCCTCCACACATTGCAGCTAGTCCAGCCCATTGTTGCTGCAATGACAGGTCAATAATTTTCTTTTGGAATTTTGATTCTAAATGGTGATTTTGATTTGTTTATTGTAGCATAACTCTAATGGCCCATTAGTAATGGGTTCTAGTTAATTGGGCTGAAATGAAATTTTATTTGATTGATTCACACTTTGATTTGTAATTGTTTCATTTGTATTGACACTCTCGATGGTTGTTGATTTGGGTTACTAAGTAGAAGCATCTTATTTGAATAATTCTGAACACCAGCCGATGCATTTTGTCTAACATAACAATCCCTTTTGGTTCAAAAAGTCAAACTTTTTGAGTTTTCAACGAAAATTTGTGTTTATGAATGTATCACCAACAATTGGGAATGCTTAGTTTTGTTTGGCTTTCTTGAAAATCATTAATAGATGCCTTTTGTTCTAGGAAGGATCGAAGAGTTCAATTTCATTAGTAAGTGTTTATGTGTTTACATTTGTATTATTGAATATATGTTTATGAGTTTACATTTGTATTTTGTTAGTCGTATAAATGCTTAGCTTAGCCCGAAATAAACAAAATCCTGGCTCCATCCTTGGTAAAGGGGTGTGTGTGTTATGTGGGTATTGTTTAAGGGGGTTGTTTAGAGGGGTAAGATGGAGGGGGCTCTATGAGTGTGTGTGTGTGTGTGTGTGTGTTTGTGTGTGTCCTATAGGAATTGTTTGGGGGGTGGGTTGGATAGACGAAGAAGAGAGAGGGGGTGGTTCTGCGAGTTTGTGGGTGGGGGGGAGGGGGTTGTGCAGAGGGTAAGAGGAAGGGGTTCTACGAGAGTGTGGTGTGTGTGTTATGTGGGAATTGTTTTAGGGGTGGGTTGCACAGACGGAGAAGAGGGAGGAGGTGGATTCTGCGAGTGTGTGTGTTGTGTTA